ATGAAGTGATTTGCTCAGGTCACACAGCTAGTAAGTATCTGAGGTAAAATTCATCCTGACTACAAATCCAGCACTCTCCTGACTATATCACACTGCTTTTCAAATGACCAGGAGGCCTAATTAACATGTCCTTTTCACAAACAACAGGTACAAGATTGGGTGTCTGTGGGCGAGGCGGGGGGAGGTAGGTGAGTGGGAAGAAGAATGGGACTCGTAGAGGAATGAAGAGTGTGGCAATGCCATCCTCCAAAGCAGATTGATGTCTCATCTACAACTTAATAGTTCTCTCATTTTAGAGAGCTGCCCAGAGTACTGAGAGGTTAAGTAACCTGTCTGAAAAAAAAAAAAAACAAAACAAAACCAACAAAAACCCCAGTTAGGTGATACGGTAATTACAGTGCTAGGCCTAGAATCAGGAAGACCCGAGTTCAAATCTGGCCTCAAATACTTACTAGCTGTGTGACCCTATGCAAGTCACTTAACCTCTGTCTGCCTCAGTTTCCTCAACTGCAAAAAGGAGATAATAATAATATCATACTCCTAGGGTTGTTGGGAGGATCAAATGAGATGACATTTTAAAAGCACTTAGCCCAGTAATCTGGAACATAATGGGTACTTAATAAATGTTTCTTTTTGTTTCTTTCTTCTATGGTCTTGCTGGAGGTGTGATTGAACCTAGGCTTTCCTTATTCTAAGGCTGGTCCTCTTTCCAGTGCACTATGCTGCCTCCTGAATTGTTAGGGCAGGTAAAATGTAAATTATCTCTGGAGTTGAAGAGATGCTCATGTGGCCAGGAACCTTATTTAACCTCATTGCCCTATTGAACTGCACCAGTAAGATTATCTGAAAGCCCAGACCAGTGTAGGTATGTACAAACTCAGAAACCCTTAGCACATACACATTCACATCTGCATATAACTCAGGTCAAGTTGGAGTCGGCATTTAGCCACATCTTCTCTTTTCCTCTTCAGCAGCCAGGCCTTTTCACATTAGGGTTAGCTAAAAAACAAACAAACAAACAAAAACCCAAATAAACCTGGAAGAAGAGGTATAGGAAGAAGAAATACCCAGAGAGGTAGAGAACTAGTCTTCAGGAGGCTTCATTTTTTTCATTGCTTTGTACAGAAACAAAGCAACATGGTTTATTTTGGCTTGCACTCTTGAAGCATCCTATGAATGCCATGAGGAATTATCTTCATGCATCATTCAACAAATAAAACTGGAGATTCCCTTAGTCTGAGCTTAAACATAATCTTACCATCGTGGATCACAAGATAACGAGAAGGTTAAATAATGTCCATGGTCCAGGCAGGATTTCTTCAATTATGGAGTAGTTCTGTCTTTAAGGGCCAAAGAGACTTTCAATCCCTGCCCACCTCAACAAGCCAACAGGGTAATTTCAACCTCTTTAAATGGATGTGGATTTTATACATATACATTCAGAACAAGTTAATGAAGAGCATGTGCCTTGGATCCAGGAGGATGCCAGGCTCCTTAAATTCCCTCTTAGAGGAAATCATGCAAGTTTAAGAATCCTTGTGAGGGGCCCTCTTAGGAAATTCCTTGCATCTGCTCAGATTAAAAAGGCATCAACCTATTTATTTCTTCCAAATAGAGAGGGACTTCTCAAACACTGAGTTCTCTTTTGAAAGACAAATGGCTTGGTTTGGGGAATTGCAGAGAGCCAGAGAACCGACATTTTGCTCCTGATCACAATTCTGTGGGTGTACAGTTGCTGGCAGCTGCTTGTAAACAGGACTGCATAACTTGACTCTCTTTGTTGCAGACACCAAGCCCATGGTGCCATGAAATTTCTGAGACTCGGCATTTTTGACTTGCATTTTGGTGCTAAAATTTCTACAGATATTTCCAGCTTGGATCAGATAGCATCAGAAATGGGGCTCAGCTTGGAGCTAGAATGAAGGAGCAAAAGCTTCCTCTTAAATTAAATTAGGATTAGCCATAGCAACTCATATCTTTGGAAGCTGTGCTGCATAATCAGGTGGGGGTAGATGCTGCATAGAGGAAATTTATGCCAAAGTTGCAGGGACATTTGTGATAAAAAAAAAAGTTTTGATTCGATGAACAGGGAGTTAATCATGTTGTAACTGGGCATAATCTTGAGAACTCCATTCCATCAAAGTCCTGATGAACTGTCCGCATACACTGAGCCTAGCCAGTCATGTTTGCAAGCTGTACTCTTCATCTGCAAGACCCTGGTAACCCACTGAAAAGGCTTTTGAAAAGAGAGCCAGATAGGAAATTGCATTTACCTATGAAGATTCAGTGCTTTCATTTATTCCTATTTGGAACAGGGCTCATTTTCTGACCAAAGGTGTGGTGATGGGGGAACAGAACAATTTTCTTTCCTAACCACGTGATAAAGAGTCAACTGTACGGGACATCCATATAGAAAAGAGCAGGAAGGTTTCCAAGGCAAAAAGAAAGGTTGAAATGGGGAATTTGTATTATATAATACCTCATTTGGGAAATGCATCTTGTAAACCTGCAATTAGGTGTTTGTGGTTTTTTCATATTGCAGCAGTGGAAAATAGGGCTGTACCTGACATTTATATGGCATTTTTATACCCATCATCTCATTTGAGCCTTAAAACTACTGACCTCTTGAAACTGGGACCAGGTTCTTATTAATGGAGAGCATGAGTAGGAATTTGAGCAACTAAGTTTGGTACAGGAGGGTGCAAAACCCTATGAGATAGGTGATAGTATTATAGCTCGAGAGCAAGAAGGGACCTCAAAGGTTGTCTAGTTCAAGCACTCTTTACAGATGACAAAAACTCAGGCCAAGGAAGTTAGTCACTTGCATAGGACATACAGGTAGTAAACATTAGAGGAGGGAATTAAACCCAGGTCATCTTTACACTGTAGCACCCAATATATGTTATTTCCTTCTGCTGGTCTATTTTATAGAGGGGGAAGCTAAAACTCAGAGAGGGTAAGTTGCTCATGATTATACAGCAAGTAAGTGCCAGAAGCATGACTGAAATCCAGGTCTTTGTGACAATAACAGTATTCATAAGGCATGCAGACTTTCCAGAATGCTCTGATTTCAAGGCTTCCTCAATATAGGTTCAGAAGGCGCACTGGAACTTACTTCATCTTTGAGAAATTTCAAATACTTCCAACTTAGTAACTAGTTTAAACTTAATTTCTCCAGTAATCATGGTCTTCAGTATTAATGTGTACATGGAAATGTCTTCAGGAATCAGCCCACATTGCAATCTGTTATCTTGTTTTGAGTGAACCTGTCGTGACTAGAAATGTAAATGGTAGCTACAGAGAAGATGCATCAGAATCTCTTAATGAGATCCCCATGTTTTATGAAGAGCTGCTGAAAATATTCTCCCCTTCCCCCAGTTTCCTGGAATTCAGTGAGAATGTAATTTTCTCCTCCTCATACCAAATGTTTGATGCTCGAGGACTAGTGCTGCAAACTAAATCTTAATAGGGGCTTTCATGCTCCCAAACCCTAGAGCAGGATGGAAAAGGACAACATTTAAAAATTGCTTAAAATGCTGCCCTTCAAAGTCAGGAAATACTCCCCTCCCAAAAAAAAGATCTGTTGGTTAGTTGCCATTTTTTTTTAGGCAATTGGGATTAAGTGACTTGCCCAGGGTCACACAGCTAGTAAGTGTCAAGTGTTTGGTCTGAGGCAGGATTTGAACTCAGGTCCTCCTGACTTCAGGGCCAGTGCTCTATCCACTGTGCCACCCAGCTGCCCCCTTGCCATTTTCTTAAATGAAAAACAATGGATATCTTTACAACTTTAATGAAGATATCAGGGTGCTGCGGGGAGGCACCAGGGCTTGAGTCCTTGAAAGAATGAATGCACTTCAAAAATGGGATCAGTTTGTGACCCCAGGTAATTGACTTACTGGTATACTAATCTTGGAAATAGCTTTTTTTAAAGGGAAGAATCTCCAGGAATCTTGTTTGCCCTGTAGTGCTTCTAGCCCACAGAACCCCTGCACAGCACTCATGTTTCTGCATATTAAAAGTCTGAGGCCATGGACACACCTTGTGTCACACCTTGAATGATGTCACACCTTGAATGAAGCTGAATGAAGTACCAACTATACACTTTAATGTTAGCCCCATCACCCATATTTGAAGAAGAATTTAGCTTTGAATGTCTAAGTAGAAATGAATAAAGTATAGCTATGCATTATGCTTTAACGTAGGAATTTGTAATTTTCAAAGTACTTTTATGTGCATCATTTATTCAGTAAGCATTTATTAAGTATCTTCTGTGTGCAGAGAACTGTGCAGGGTGCTGGAAGAGATACAATATTTAGATAAGATATGGTTCCTGCCCTAATAGAGCTTGTAATCTAGCAGTGAAATAGGGTACATAGGCAACCACAATATACAATAATATATGATTGTATACAAGATTGTTACTGACCATATTGTTACCTCGTTTAAACTTTGGAAATAGTCCTGCAAGGTAGGCTGGGAAAATGTTATTTTGAGTACTCTAAGAAGTGAACTGGATTGCCATACATTCACTAAGTGACAGGGCTAGGACTAAGCTTCTGAGTCTTGGTGGGGCAAAAAAATAGTAGAAAAGAATATTGAGCTAAATAAGGAAAGGGAAATTATATAGATGGTTTGGAGGTATTTAGGCTTGTGAGGAAGTCCAGAGGTTGAATCTGGAGATGAGAAATTGAGGAAAATGAGACAATTTATCTAAAGTGCACGTAATTCTTAAAATGCTATATAAATGTTAGCTGTCATTGTTATTATTAGAGAACTCTCATTAAGATTTTAATTGTAGCATTTGTCCTTGAGCATCAGGCAACTGATTACTTCGCAAGAGGAGGGGAGAATTACATTCTCATTAGTAACAGAGGATCAATATAGAATGTGGCATGGTCCTATAAAAATACTGTCAGCAGTGCCAAAGCCCAGAATGAGCTGAGAGAGATGGGAGAAACTAAGGGAAACAAATTTATTTTTGCCTTTTTTTCTTTTTTAAGGTTGTAATGAATGGAGTGAAGAGGCAAATCAAATAAGAAAGAGAAGAGCCCTGCTGCTTGAGGGAGATATGGGACAAAGGTAACAAACAACAAAGAGAAGGTAGAGCCACTCAGCTGTTTGCCTCTGCATTGCCTAGCAAGAGGAATGGCCTTGGTAATGGAAATGACTGAGCAAAACTGGCTGATACTAACTGGGAGTTGATGCACAAGATATGTAAACAGATAGGAAGCTCCTGATGGATTCAAGTCACTTAGGCCAGGTAAGCCCATCGTTGGCTACTGAAAGAACTGGCAGATATAATTGCTGAGTCACTGTCTCTGATATTTGAAAGAATGTGAAAAATGTGAGAGGTGCCGTAGGAGTTGTTGTTCAGTCATTTTTCAGTCCGTCTGACTCTTTATGACCCCATTTGGCGGGGTTTTTTTGTTTGTTTGTTTTTGTTTTTTTGTCAAAGATACTAAATGCACTCAGGTAAAGATTGCTGGTGACTCCGCATGGCCCTTGTCTCATTCAATCGATTATTTACCCAGCATTTATTAAGTACCTACTATGTACTAGGCACTAAAGATACCTTCTCCAGCTCATTTTACAGATGAGGAAACTGAGGCAAACAGGGTAAAGTGCCTTGTTCAGGGTCACACAGCTAGTAAGTGTCTGAGATTGGATTTGAACTCAGGAAGGTGAATCTTCCTGACTCCAGGCCTGGTACTCTATCCACTGTACCACTTAGCTGCCCTTACCATAGGTGTGGAGAAGGGCCGATATTGCCCCATTTTTTTTTTTTTTGGTGAGGCTATTGGGGTTAAGTGACTTTCCCAGAGTCATATAGCTAGGGAGTGTTATGTGTTGGAGGCTGGATTTGAACTCAGGTCCTCCAGACTGCAGGGCCTGTGCTCTATCCACAGCACCACCTACCTTCTCCTCACCCCCAATTTTTTTAAATTAGAATCATAGTGGAGAGAGGGAAGTAAGAGAATAGAGTCTGCAAACCAAAAACCAAGGAACTTGACTTTGATTCCTGGGGAAATTATAAAACAGAATGATTAAAGAGATAGTTAATGACCATCCAGAAAAAGAAAGCAGTCACCACAAAGAATAAGAATCATGGCTTCATCCATAACAAGTCACAGCAGACTAAGCTTACTTCCTTTAAAAATATTTTTGACTGTTATTTAACTAGTATAGTAGATCAGGAGAAGGTTGCGAATATACGTTAACCTAGAATTTAGCAAAGCATTTGACAAACTGTTTCTTACTAGTCCTGTGGAAAATAGGGAGAGATGTGGACCAGATGATGATTCAATGAGATGGACTGGGGACTGATTGAATGGCCAGATTAAGAGAGTAGTTGTTTATAGTTCAGAGTCGGATTGGCAGGTCTCCAGTGAAGTGCCTCGTTAATCCCATGCTCCCCCTTCTGCCATCTCCTTCTATCATTTTTTTTTGATTAGCAAGCATTTATTCTCTCTCCCTCCCACATCCCCCATTGTACAATAAAAAAAATATAAAATCTGCACAAGATAAGGCACAGTCAAATGAAACAAATTCCCACATTGGCAATATCAAAAAATGTTATATTCCAGTCCACATGTTGTGACCATCACTTCTCTCACAGGAGATGGGCAGCGTGCTTCATCTTCAGTCTTCTAGAATCACGGTTTGTTCTCGCATTGATCAGAATTCTAAAGACTTTCAAAGTTGCTTTTCTCTAAAATGTTGTCATGGCACAAATTGTCCTCATAACTTTACTCTGCATCAGTTCATTGAGATCTTCCTATCTCCTTTGAAACTTTTATTTCTTGGGAGCAGCTAGGTGGTACAGTGGATAGTTGTCCGGCCTTGGAGACAGGAGGACCCGAGTCCAAATGTGGCTTCAGACACTTGACACTTATCAGCTGTGTGACCCTGGGCAAGTCACTTAACCCCGGTTGCCTCAGCAAAAAAGAAAAGAAACTTTCATTTCTTATGGCACAATAATATTCTATTACGGGAATATATCATAATCTGTTAGGCCATTACAGTAGGTGGGCAGCCCTTTGATTTCCAGTTTTTGCTACTACAAAAGGAGCTGCTATGAATATTTTTTATCATATGGTTCTTTCTTTGCTCCTCTTTGGGGTATATACTCAGGAGTGGTTTTGTTGAGTCAAAGGGTATGCCCAGTCTAGTCATTTGAGGGGGGGAGCATAATTCCAAATGACTGTATTCCATAATGGCTTTATCGATTCATAATTCCTTCCACCAAAGTGCACCAGAAGTGTGCCCATTTGTCCACAACCCTCCCAACATTTGTCATTCCCTTTTCTTTACCTTATGCTTTTTAGCATTTTTATTAGTGGCCTGGATAAATTCAGAGATAATATGTTCATCATGTTTGCAGGTGACACAACATAGCTAATGCATTGGATTACAGTGTTTGGATCCAAAAAGACCTTGGCAGGCTAAGGCACTGGGCTGAATCTAATGAAATGAAATTCATCAAAAATAAGTATGAAGTCTTTCAACTGGGTTAAAAAAATAATCTCCACACGTACAAGATGGAGGAATCCTGGCTAGACAGCAGTTGTATGATAAAAGTCATTAGGTTTTTTTTCCTTTCAAAATAAAAGCTCAGTGTGAGTCAGCAGTATGAGGAGGGCAGCCAGAAAAACTAATGTAAGTTTGGGAAGCCCTGAGAGGCAGAGATCCCAGGACTAGGCAGGTGACAGTCCCCACTGTATTCTGCCATGGTCAAACCACATCTGAAGCATTATGTTCAGTTCCGGGTGTAATAGTTTAAAACAGGCTTTGATAATCTTGAGAGTATCCAGAAGAGAGCAGTCAGCAAGGGCCTTAAGGACGTGACCTGTGAGAACTGGTTGGAGTAACGGGGGATATTTAATTTGGAAAGCAGAAGACTAAGTGAGGGGAGTGATATGATACCTGTGTTCAAATATTTGAAAGGCTGTTATGTGGAAGAGAGAATAGGCTTGCTTTGTTTGGCCTCAGATCAGGAAAAATGGGTAAAAGTTGCTGAGATGCAAATCTAAATGTTAGGAAAAACTTCCTGACGCTAAACTTATCCAAAAAGTGAATGGGCCATCTTGGGAGGTGGTTGGGTCCCCCTAATTTGAGGGCTTCAAGAAGAGGCTTGTTTATTATATTACATGGGGGATTCCTCTGGTTATACATTGCTGCTAAATTCCCTTCTAACTCTCAAATTCTGTGAGTCTGCCTTTCTGTGAAGTTTAAGTGAAGCTAATAAAGTAATCTAGTACTCTTCTCACTATGCCACTCTTGGCCTTCCTATGACACCATCTGGCATCATGTAGGGTTCATTGGTAATCTCTATACCCTGTAAACAGAGTCATTTAAAAGGGATACCATGATAACCTTCAGTTCATCCTGGATTGGTATTTTCTTACTTCAGTTTCATCTGATCTTCCTTGGGCAGAGGTATTTTTGAAATGAAATGCCTGGATCCACCAACTTATTGCCATCACAGAGCAGGCACCTGACTCATCCATGTGACTCCTCTTCCACAGTGAGCCTTCTTAAGCTGCTGCCTTATGAACCTCACTGAAAGACGTGCCCTAGCTTAGCCAGTTTTTGACTGCCTGAGGAAGGTGAAACCACTCTCTTCTCAGTCAGCTACTTTATCATCTTTTGGATTCATAATGATCCTTTTGACTCTCCTTTGAAAGGGGATTGAGAGCTAGTGTGCTCCATCATTGCATCTGAAAGGCCAGAAAAATTGAGACCACAAATGATGATCTTCAGCACTTCTCAGTATCTTACTCCTTTTAATACCCTCTATAAAAAGGACAACAGAAAGCTCATTATACCATCACTTGACATACCTGTTATGTCTATATGGTTAGTCTCTGCAAAGCTTTCATGCCCTTCCTATAGTTTATAGAGAAATTGATTTCACAGAATCCAAGAAATTAGAGATGGAAACACTCTATTAGGTCACCAAATCCATCCCCTGAGGCTAGTTTAGGATTGATCCCTAGTTCACAGTGTATTATCTAGTGCTTTTTTTTCTATCAAGTTTTGATGGGTTTTTGTATATTTATAGCAGGCGGGCAATATCTGCCGTGGAAAATTATGCCAATCCATACGAGAAATAAAATTCTAGAAAAATAAGCTTTTGCTAAGCACTAATTTTACTTTGGTGGATACATTTTTTTAATGTGCTAATGTTTATAGCCTCTCATCGTGATAAAGGCAGGGTTCTAATATGGGATCATGTATTGGCATTGCAATCAAATGGAGAATTTGCATCTTTGTAAGTTGCAGAATTTTCCCAAGACGTGATTTCCCATCAGATCTGTACAAAATATAATATGAATTTTAGCCTCCTAAGGCTGGTTTCTTTTCTGCACAGGAAATTGAGCCCTGTACTTTGCTCAAGTACATGCAATCAAACAGCTGGCCAAGATGATATTTTAGCCTTCTTATCCAGACTGTTTGGGGCTGTGACTCTGTTTGAGGGTTTAACAGCGCCATGGGGGGGTGCTTCCTTTGAATCTAAAGGAAGTGAAGAGACAGAGGCTCCCTCAGGGATATTGGCCTGGGTCCGAACTCTGTCACCTCCTTCCACCCCATTTCAATTAGGCAGTGAGCCAGTGAGGAGGTAGCCTGAGTAACCACTGCTGAAGAAGACCTGCAACTAATAGACTCATATATATACAATCAGCTCATAAAAGCTTCCTTCCCTTCCAACAAAGCCATGAGAATTCTCCCCTTAGGCTGAATTTTATGACTTCTTTTCACCTTCAAGGCTACCTCATTTAACCCAATGTCACCTGCATGGAAATATTGGGGGCAGAAGGGCAAAGTAGTAAGATTGAGCCGGGCCTGTTCCTGAGGATGACCCGATTCGGGGTGGGGGGGGGGCCTGGAGAGGTGCAAGAAAAAGCACCAGGGAAGAAGACAGATAGGTCGGAGCACAGAGAACAGCCAAATCCTATCAACTTGATGTTCCCATTCCAATATTCCTTTTAAAAAAGACAAACCAGATGAAGTCCCTGTTTGTGGATGAGTATTATGTCTGGAGAGTATCCCAGGCAGAAAAGCCTCATGCATTTTTTTATACACCTGTATGCTAAATGAGAACGCGCATCCAGGTGCTGAGGAAGACTTATGAATGTGCTGTAAATTATGCAAACAAGTAATTTTGCATGTCCAGAAACTAGTGCCTACAAATGATACAGTTTCCTTAAACTCTCCACAAATGGGGATGCCAGCAAACCAGGACAGGCCTAATTGCTCAGC